AAGGAATCAATTCTAATGCATGAAAATGAGTTTTCTAAAGTTTTACCCAAAAAGTCAAAAATCGCCCCCGGGTCCACATGGTCAAAACCCGAGGTTCGAACCAAAATCCGATTACCCATTCCCCCACGAACCCAAATATATAATTTATTTTGAAATCGGACCTCAAATCGAGGTCCAAATCCCCAATTTTTGAAAAACCTAGGTTCTACCCAAAACACCCAATTTCCCCATGAAAATCATTGATTTTGAGTTGAAATCATGTTAAAAGATGTTAATGATTGAAGAAAACGAGTTAAAATTGACTTACAATCGATTTGGAAGAAGAGTTGTTCTTGAAAAATTGCCCGAGGGAGTTTATGTTTTGAAAGGATGTGAAAAATGGTTGATTTTCGGCTAAGTATAAAAAAAATTGCAGGTTGCAGATATGGGAATTGCGAAGACGGTTCGCAATTGCGAACCCTGACCTCTGCTAGGTTCGCATTTGCGAGATAGGAATTGCGACTACTGTGTCGCATTTGCGACTACTGGCTGAAGCTGGGGGAAATCACATTTGCAATCAAAAACCTCGCAATTGCGAGATGGGATGGCATGGGCTACTTTTACAATTGCGACAAGGCCCTCACATTTGCGATATCGCATTTGCGAGCCATGCGAAGTCTGCAGGCCTAAACACACCAGCTAAAAACCTCCAATACACTAAGTCCAAAATCCACCCCGTGGCCTATTTAAAACTCACCCGAGCCCTCGGGGCTCCAAACCAAGCATGCACACCAACCTAAAAACATCATACGGACTCACTCGTGCATTCAAATCACTAAAATAACATTACCAACTATGAATTTAGCATCAAAATCATGGAATTTTCTTAAGAACTTCAAATTTCCAATTTTCTCAAAAACAATCCGATTCACGACGTTTCAAGTCCGTTTCTTACCAAATTTCACAGACTTATCTTAAATCATATATAAGACCTGTATCGGGCGCCGGTACCAAAATACGGGCTCGATACCATCAAGTTCCAATCACAATTCATTTTCAAATCTTATAAATAATTTCAGAAAATAATTTTCTTTAAAAAATCATTTCTCGGGCTTGGGACCTCGGAATTCAGTTCCGGGCATACGCCCAAGTCCCATATTTTCTTACGGACCCTCCGGAACTGTCAAATCACGGGTCCGGGTCGGTTTACCCAAAATATTGACCGAAGTCAAATTAATTCATTTTATAGTCAAAATTTATCATTTTTCATAGATTTTCACATAATGGCTTTCTGGCTACGTGCCCGGACTGCGCACACAAATCGAGGTGATGTCAAAAGAGGTTTTTAAGGCCTCGAATGCAGAATTCACTTTTAAAAGGTCATCACAGTAAGCCCTCCAGTGCTTCGCGTTCGCGACCGGTTTCCCATGTTCGCATAGAAGAAAACCACCCCAGCCCCAAGTTCCACTTCGCGATCGCGAGAGTGGCTTCGCGAATGCAAAGAACAATGCACCAAATATCAGAAACCTCAAAAGCTAGCAATTGCCTAAGTCCAAAATCGATCTGTAGCCTATCGAAAACTCACTCGAACCCCTCGGTCTCCAAACCAAACATGCACACAAGTGGAATAAAATCATACAAACTTGCTCACGCGATCAAAACACCAAAATAATACCTAGAACTACGAATCAAATATCAAAATGAATGAAATTTCCAAAGAAACTAAAGAACATGCAAATTTACAATCTGATGTGCGAATCATGTCAAATCAACTCTGTTTTACACCAAATTTTGCAGACAAGTCATGAATAGTGAAATGAACCTATACCAAGTTTCGGAATCGAAATCCGAATCTGGTAGCAACAAAGTCAGCCTACGGTTCAAATTTAGGAATTCTTTAAACCTTCAAATTACTAGTTTTTAACAAATCATGGTAAACCAAGTTAGGGACTTCTGAATTCGATTTTGGGCATATGCCCAAGTCCCAAATCATGATACGGACCCACCAGGACCGCCAAAATACTGATTCGGGTCCGTTTACACAAAATGTTGACCATAGTCAACTCAATTCATTTTTAAGGCCACATTTTTTTCAATTTTCACATAAAACTTTTTCGAAAAAAAATACGGACTGCACACACAAATCGAAAAAGGCTAAACGGAGCTATTCGAGGTCTCAAAATACAGAAATAAAGGCTAAAACTTAAAATGACCTATCGGATCATCACAAAAATCTATATATGTTATTTAACTTTTATTATTCATAACTCATCAATATCTAAACTTAATTATGACCACCTAATTTCTGAAGCTAAGACACGATTATTATCCAACTATTATCATAATTGGCTTCTCCTTAGGTTACAACTCAAAAGTAAATAAAAAAACATGATTGTCTTTAGGTTACAACTCAAACAATAAAAATTACGTATAGTATCTCTAATGTTGGGAGATATCGCCTTTTCTCGCTCACCATCATTTATTTTTAAAATAATCTTACTCTCTTAATCATTAATCAATTAGCATTTATCCCTACTAGCTAGCTGCATAATAACCAATTACACTAGATAGAAGGGTTGACAGTTGTAACTTGTAACAAACAATTAAGTCATTACTCTCTCTAGTCCACTCTAATTAATTTTTTTGATATTTTTTTGTTGTCCATAACATTTAAATTTTTTCTAACAAGAAATTAACTTCTTTTTTCCAAAGTTGTCATTGGAGCAAAGAGCCTAGGAGTATTTGTTTTATTTTTAATGAATAAATTAATATTAATATGATCAATTTAATTGTTAATTAATGTTAAAAGGTGGATTTCTTAATATGTGTGACAACAGCCAAAAAATCAATTAAAGTAAATTGGAGAGAGTACTTATTAAGGGATTTATCAAAAAAATAGTTGACTTTCACAAGTAATATATATGTCTTATCATTTTAATAATGCCAACTAAGGTGCATTGACTCTCGCATTATCAATCCATTAATAGGATAAGATTTTCTAACTCCCAAATTAGCACATTACATAGAAACAATAGTAAAAACATATTAAAGACAGCAAGTTTGAGAGTGCTCCAAAGCACCTTTAAATAGCCAATATTTTTTACTCTGAATGAAAACTCAAAAACCACGAGAATTATCTCTAATATTCTCTAGTGTCAGCCATGGCAAAGAAATCTAGCATGGGTCGTCAAAAAATCAAAATTTCCAAAATAGAGGTTAAGAATCATCTCCAAGTTACCTTCTCAAAACGTCGTTTTGGTCTTTTCAAGAAAGCTAGTGAACTATGCATACTTTGTGGGGTTGAAGTAGCTATCGTAGTTTTTTCACCTGCAAGAAAAAAAATTTCTTTTGGTCACCCTAATGTTGAGTCCATTATCGATAGGTTCCTCTCGAAAAATCATAATCCAATTTCTAATTCATCCCTTCATCTTGTTGATGCACATAGAAATGCTAGTGTTCAAGAGCTCAATTTGCAACTAACTCAGATTCTTTCTGAGCTTGAAATTGAAAAGAAAAGAGGAGAATCACTTGATCAAATGAGGAAAACTAGTCAAAATCAATATTGGTGGGAAGCTCCTATAATGCAACTTGCTTTGCATGAACTTGAACAATTAAAGGATTCAATGGAGGATTTAAAAAGAATGTGACAAATCAGGCAAGCAAGTTTATGGTTGAGACTGCTAATTCTTCTCCATATTTTGGTGTTAATGGTAATGGGATTTTTGATAACTATGATATCAAGCTAGCTCGAAACTTGGTTGCTTCAAATAATCTTCACAACCATAACTTTAGTTTTCAATCAGCTGGAATTTTTTTTTTTTTTGGTTCTCCTTTCTTTTGATCAATTAAAGCCAACGAGTACCTCACTAGCATGCCTTAATTTGCTCTGTGTTTTTCAAGTTCTCATTCTGTGAACTTATTGCCTATTAGTTACAAATGGTTGCCCTTATAAATCAATATTTTATTAATAGCAAATACTCCTTGCAAACCTTTTACATGCTATTATCATGGTATTATTCAGAACATTTATCAAGAATTCTTACCTTGTAAAATGAACTACGGGGAAAGATGCAGAGGCGGATCTAGGATTCCAAGAAGATGGGTGTACTATTACAAAGAGTTGAATCTAGAATTTATATTTGACAGGTTTAACTTTTAGGTTCTTACCATAAATCCATTATCATTTAGAAATTATAGGTTAAAATTAAAAAATTTGTTGCAATTCTAGCGATTTTTAATATATATACCGATGCTCCAGAACAAAAATGTTGAAATCATTGAACCATGCAACATCATCCACTGCTATTAGTTTTAATTATATAAAATTTTGCGATAACAAAGGAGATCAATAATTTTAATGTATTAGATTTAGGGATGTTGAATGAATAAGCCAAATAGAAAAACAAGGAAAAAGAAAAAATACTTAATTAAAACACAAGAGGGGATCGACACTAGATATGCCTATAACCAAGATTTAAACCTCTAACTTCACTTGTAAAGGTACACCCAATAATTATTGTACTATAAGACTATTTGAGCTTGGGTGCATACTGATGGCGAACATGGTGTCTAACTTCTGCTTCTTCTTCATTGCGGCTTGAGTTACCAAATGGAAAATGAAAAGAGTCATGCTCGAAAAGCTTTTCTCTTTAATGGTCCTTACACGCGTGCAACTAGAGTAGTCGAGTCCCGGATGTTGGTATTGAATATTGAGTGAGAAAAGAATTACACAAATAGCTGGTTAATTTTTTTTTTTGCCGATATACATAGACTATACAGCGATATATATGTGTGTGTGCATGTGTTTGTCTGTCTGTCTGTCTCTCTGTGTGTGTGCGCGTGCACATGCGAGTATATATTATATCCATCGACTAACTTATGCATCGACACAAGGAAGAAGATAGTAGAGATTATTAATGCAAAAACAACAGCTTCTCAGTTTCGTTATATGTAACTAAAAAAACACAACGTGCCACTTATCATAAACAAGAGAAAGGAAATTAGAAAGGTAAAACATGTCATTTCTTAATTAATATTCAACTATTAATATCATCAAAATCCATTGTCGAGCAGAAAGAAATTGAACGAAAACCCTAGAGTTTCTGAAAACAGAGAAAAAAAAAAAGAAGAGAACATTATTCTGTCTAGAATGTTCTGCCGACATATTACAAAATATCCCAATATAACTAAAAACAATAACAAAATGATAAAAGCTATTTACATAAACTTGTGAGCTTGATAGGCTGATGGGCCCTGCAACTTTTGCTTGTATCGGGCCTGGACTGTAGTGCCAGTGTTAACACCCCCCTCAAGATGGAGGGTGAAAATACACCCAAGCTTGCAAATAATACTATAGTGAGACTGTCCAGGTAAGACTTTAGTCATGATGTCAGCGAGCTGGGTAGAACTGGGAACAAAATGCAAAGAAATAAGGCCAGAATTCAGACATTCACGTACATAATGACAATCAATTTCTATGTGTTTGGTATGTTCATGGAAGACAGGGTTCTTAGCTATGTGTAAGGCAGTTTGACTGTCACAGTGAATGGGAACATGACTGCAAATGGGCAGACCAAGATCACCGAAAAGTCAAACTAACCAAGAAACTTCAGCAACAGTCTTCCTCAAGGCCCAGTACTCAGCTTCAACTGAAGATAAGGATATAGTAGGTTGCTTCTTTCTTTTCCATGAAATAGAACTGCCACCAAGAATGATATAGAAACCAAATACATATTTGCGAGAGATAGCACAGCACATGCAGCCCAATCAGAGTTAGAATAACCAAGAAGAGAAAAATCAGAACTGTTGGAAAGAAGAATACCCTGGGCTAGATCATTCAGAAGATACCTCAAGACATGTAACGCAGCCTGTATGTGTGGCACTTGAGGATTCTGAAGAAATTGGCTCAAGTGCGGCACAGAAAAGGAAATATCTGGCCTGGTGTATCGTAAGAAGTTAAGTTTTCCTATCAATCTTCTGTAGGTGTTGGGATCAGATGATGGCTCTCCCATGTCCAACACCAATTTGGACAAAGGGTCCAAAGGAGTGAGAACATGAGTGAATGCTGGCAATAAAACTCAGCAATCATATCAGTGGCATACTTTTGCTGAGTCATAAGGTAGCCTTGAGGATTTTGGGAAACTTCTAACCCTAAAAAATAGTGTAGTATACCCAAATCCTTGATCTTGAGTTGAGAGTCTAAGAAAGACTTTAAGGAGTTCAATTCAGAGACATCATCCCCAGCTAAGAGGATGTCATCCACATATACAGCAAGAACCACCAGAGAACTGGAGGTTGATTTAGTGAAAAGAAAATAATCATTAAGACTGGAAATGTAGCCTCTAGATAGCAAGGCTTCAGACAGTTTTGAAAACCACTATCTGGAAGCTTGCGTGAGGCCATAGAGGGACTTCTTAAGTCTGTAAACCAATAGTGAAGAAGTGGAAGAAGAAGAGATTTCAAGGCCAGGAGGAAACTTCATGTAGACCTCCTCACTTAGGTCACCATGAAGAAAAGCATTATTGATATCAAGTTGAAAAATAATCTAACCTCTCTTGATAGCCAAGGTCAATAGGCATTTAATAGTGGTCAGTTTGACCACAGGGGAGAAAGTTTCAGTAAAATCAATGTCTTCCTTTTGAGCATCACCCCTAATAACTAGTCGTGTCTTATACCTTTCAATAGAACCATTAGACCTTTGTTTTATCTTATAGAACCACTTGGAAGGAATGTCTTTCTTGTTAGGTGGTAGAGGAACAATGTCCCAGGTATAGTTTGCTTCAAGAGCCCTAAATTCTTGTAGCACAGCCTCCTGCCATGCAGGGTTTGATGTTGTCTGCTAGTAAAACTGAGGCTAATATGAGGGTCAATGTCCCAGGTATAGTTTGCTTCATATGAGGGTCACTAAGATCAACCATGGAGGAATTAGGAGGAGGAGCAGGAAGTAATGTACAATTGCAAACATAGTCATTCAGGTAGGTAGGTTTGGTAACTGTTCTAAGAGATTTCCTAAGAGGAGGAGAAATATGAGAATGAGAAGGAATGTCAGAGGAGGAATTAGAATCAGTAGAACTGGGAGAAGGAAGATTAGAGATGACAGGACTGAGAGGAGGAGGAGAAACTACTAAAGGAGACATAGGAGGAAGATCTTCAGAAGCAGAAGGAGATGTAATGTTACAAGCAGAAGATGGGAACTCAGCAAATGGTTGTACAAAGGAAGGAAAGAATGAAGGATGAGAATGAAAAACTGATTTGTAAGGGAAAACATGTTCATGGAACACTACATCTCTAGAGTAGAAAACAGAAAAATTAGAAAGATTCAACAAGTTGTAACCCTTCTTTCCACAGGGATAATCCAAAAATAAGCAGGAGATGGTTCTTGATTGGAATTTATCCCTGCCCACCTTAGGAGATATGGCAAAGCAAAGGCAGCCAAAGGATTTTAAGTGTTCATATATAAGTGGGTGAATTCCCAATGTAATTTTTCATAAGGAGAGAGGTTGAGCAAAAAAGATAAAGGCATTCTATTGATAAGGTAAGTGGCAGTAAGTATGCACTCACCCCAAAACTTGAGAGGAAGCTTAGACTGAAATGGAAGTGCCCTGGCAACTTCCAAAAGGTGTTTGTGTTTTCTTTCCACAACACCATTTTGTTGTGGAGTGTGAGAATGGTTGTTTGATGAAAAATACCCTCATTTTTAAAGAAATTAATGGCTTCAACACTACTACCTAATTCAAAAGCATTATCTGACCTAAAAGTATGAACATTGGAATGAAAATGAACTTTGACCATGGATGTAAATGCCTTAAGGATAGGGCATTACCATTACAAGAGAGAAGGTGTGTCCAGGTTACTCTAGTATAATCATCCACTAAAGTGAAAAAGTACCTGAACCCTTTATATGTCTTAGTATTATAGGATTCCCAAATATCAATATGAATAAGTTGGAAGGGGGAAGTAGACTATATAGAACTATCATGAAAAGGTAACCTCTGTTGTCTAGCCATTGGGCAAGTTGGACAAAGGAAAGATTGTTTAGAAGAGACTTTTTCAGACAAATAAGAAATAGTCTCATTTTTTGAAAAGGTATAAGACCTAATCTTTGATGTCAAAACAAGTCCATTTTATTAATGGTGGATGTTTGATTACAAGCAGAATCAACATTAATTGAAGGTTGATTGAATAAGAAGTAAATAACTTGGCTTATTACAAAATACTGAACTAGGTTGTACTATAGAGGCAGGAAGAGAAGATGGAAATAAATCAGCATCTGGATGTAGATAGTATAATCTCCCAGCAGCCTTACCAATTATCAGTGACCTCTTTAGAGAAAGGCCCTGTATAAGACAATTGGTTTTGGTAAGTACTGCTATGCAATCCAACTGTGTGATAAGTTGATGAATAGAAATTAAATTGAATTGGAAAGACTGTACAAGAAGAACGTTAACCAATATTATATCATGTATAAGATGTAATGATCTAGTTGATATAACTTTTATAACCATTGGGTAAAGTTACAAGGAAGGGTTTAGGTAAAGGTGTGAGATTTTGAAGTAGATGTTTGTATGGAGTCATATGGTTAGTGGATCCTGAATCCAAAATCCAAAGTTGTATACCTAGATGTGAAGATGCACATGCATGAGAAACAGGAAAGTCAGCAACATAAGGACTGAACAAACCTGCAAAATGAGCAAAGCCAGAGTCTTCTGTGGAGGAAACATCAGGAGACATCCCAGTAGAGAGTTGAACTTGCTGAAACATACTCAGGAGATGTTGATATTGCTGCTTGGTAAAACCATAAACTGAATTATCAGAGGAGGCAGCAGATGAACGGGAAGGAGAGACATATGGAACTTCAGTCTGGACACAAGATGCTGATTTCTTATTCTTGGTGAACTTAAAATCAGTAGGAAATCCATGTAGCCTATAGCATTTGTCCACAGTATGTCCAGTTTTCTTGCAATATGTGCAAAAAATAGAATTTGCAGTCCTTTTAGAGTCAAAGTTGACTCTCTGAGTGAAGTTCCTATTGTTGTTGTTGAAACAAGTAGGAGAGGCTAGAAAAGATGCAGAATCACCAGAAAAACTAGGAGCATGTGGTGCTCTCTGGCTCTCATCCGCTTGTTGTAGGATAGAATAGACTTTACTTATAGGTGGTAAGGGATTCATCATCATGATGGTGCTTTTGATAGTAGAATAAGATTCATTTAATCCACTGAGGAATTGAAATAACTGTTGATCTTCTATGAACATGGGACGAGCCCCACATGAACAGGTAGGTCCCACATAAGATGAATTCAACTCATCCCAAAGTATTTTAAGTTTAGTAAAATAGTTAGATATGTGTGAAGAACCTTGCACAATTGTACTTATCTCTCTCTGAATTTGTAGATACTTTGACTCATTGGACTACCCAAACCTCTCATTGATATCTTTCCAGACCTCTTTAGCAGTTTTAAGACACATTACAATAGTGGCAATTTCTCTAGACATGGAGTTTATGATTCAAGACTTAACCATATCATTATATCTTTCCCAATAAGGATAATAGGGTGAGCCCGGGATAGGTTGGGATATTCTCCCATCTAGGATCCCTAGTTTATTCTTGGCAGATAAGGAAGTGAGCATGCTACTTCTCCAAAGAACAAAACCCATACCCTTAAAAGGTATTGAAACCAATTGGCTACCAGGACTGTCCGAAGGGTGGACATACAGAGGGTGAGATGGATCTAAGGAGAAAGGCACAAAATCTCCAGAGTTGGAGGTTGTGGTATTATCTACACTATCATGAATGCTACCCATGACAGCAGACTTAGCCAAATTATACAACCACAAAAGATACAATCACTAGAGATCGAAGTTGATCTGAAACGAACAACAATTTCTACACACACGCGACATGCAAATACAGAATATTCCTCACACATGAAGAGAAATAAGCTGTAAAGTAGTAGATAGGAAGAACGTTACCAACATTGTGAGAAAAATTCAAAAAACCCTAGGAAGACACTCGAATAAAGAAGAAAATGTTGATAAACACTAGATTCCAGCAACACAACACTAGGAGAGTGACATCAAACCAAAATTGTAGAAACTCTTAATTATTCTTCGAGGAATTCACGTCTCAGACGAGAACCCCAATCTCAGCGAACCAAACGGAAAAGACGAAAACTCCGGTCTAGAGTAACATCAGAGTGAAGGTGAGTATGAGATGATACCGAAACCATACTTTGATACCATATTAACATCATCAAAATCCATTGCCGAGCAAAAAGAAATTCAAAGAAAACCCTAGAGTTTCTGAAGATATAGAGAGAAAGAAGAGAGCATTATTTTGTCTAGAATATTCTGCCGACTTATTACAAAATATCCCAATATAACTAAAAACAATAGCAAAATGATAAAGGCTATTTACAGAAACTTGTGGGCTTGATGGGCTGCACTAATAGGTCGTGCAGCGGTTGCTTATATTGGGCCTGGACTGTGGTGCCAGTGTCAACATCAACTAATCATAATAATCCCTTCAGATTGGCCTCTCTCAAGTGGTTGAATTGGTAAGGAACAATTGAAGAACAATAGTCGATAGCGTCCTGATTCAAGAATTGATTCTCATCCCCAAATCTAGCAATATAATTATTATTCATAGTTGAAGTAGTTGGCAATTCATCAACTCTCATTGTTACTTTGTATTGTGGCATGATAGATGCGCGGTGAGTTGTGGGAGATAGAGATTGCACGAGTGAAGTTGCGGTTCAGTTTCGAAAAGGAAGTCATAAGTTCTAAACATCGTAAGAAATTTCGGAAGATCTAAAGAATGCTAAAACTGGCGATATTTTGTATCGCCTGAGACCGTATATATTATAGAAGATACATTATGTATTAAATTGCGGGTCTTGGCTAGTACTAAATACAAAAATCGCATGGTTAATAACTATTGACTAGTGATGCCAGAGAAGGGTGTGTGTTGTAGGGTAAATTTGAGCGTAGTTTATGTTTCAAACCTTAAAATCCAATTTCTAAAATTACATTAAAAAAATAGAACTACTTAAAATTTAATTTTCTTAAACACTACTTAAAATTTAATTTTCTTAAATTTGCATCGAAGAAATAAAAGAATTTCAATTATAAAATTGCATTGAAAAAATAAAACTACTTAAAAGTCCGAATTTCTGAAATTTGGAGATATAAAAATTTGGAACCCTTATAACATCAGATGCGAAGTGATCGAGTGCAAATTTCTAAAATGTATTCCAAAGTAGGTAAATTTACACACAAAAAAAATTATAAAATACAAATATAACTTCAATAGTGACTTTTTCTTTTTATTATTAATAAAACTAGCAAAAAAAAAAACTAAATAGTGACCCAGAAAACGGATCACCCGAGACTATATGCGAATATTGGAGAGAAGTTAACACAACTCATGCACTTCTAGTCGCACATTTGTTAATCACCATGCAAAGAATCACCAGGACAATGGAAAGCTTTTTAGATACGAAATCGACACCAAATTCAATCGCTTTGACCAAATCCTATATATAAGTTTAAAAATTCCACAACATATTTACAAAATTTAAAATCAAGTTGCAGTTACTAGTGCTTGACTTGAAGTTTGCTTCCTAGAATACAGGACCAAATAACATTCACAAATCTTGGATACGTCTATGTAAATCACTTTGGATTATTCATGTTAAATCCAATTATTCTGGTAATCATCGGAACCATGCCTGATATTACAAGCCCCAAATTTTAACATGAAAAAAAAAAGAGTATTAAAATTCAAAACAAAAACTGCAACCATTCCATAAAGGAGAAGGGTTACGAGTAAAATTAGAGTTCAGACAACTAAACAAAATGTTAGTTTTATCAACTACTTGCGAGGACGAGTATCTTCAGGGCCACCAACTCCAGAGGCAACTTTGGCTACGTCAACAGCAGTCGCTTCAGGTTTCTTCATTGCATACATAGTGCCGTACCAAATAGCACCGGTGATAGCAAAACCAACAAGTGCCATGGTCGTAATGCTATAAGGTAACCGCCCTCTTTGATGTAGTACAGTACCTACAGCGACGAATCCAAGATTTAAATATAATAGATTCAAGATTTTGAGTTATTGTTAAGAACCAATACTTCTAGAAGTATTTTTCTTAGAGCCAATGATAGTTTCTCTTTTTAGTTCCATACCTAATTAAACTTCGGGTTCGGGCTTTTAACCGATTTGAAATGAGTTTATCCCGAAATTATAGTATTATTTTTATCCCTATAGTAAGTGGGATAACAATCTCGAAATNCTCCAGCATTTTTCACTTCCTCAGGACTCATCTTGGTTGTATCCGCCATTTTTCTCCATTCTTCGTTTCCTGCCATTTTCCTTTTATTGCTTTGTTTTCTGATCCCTCTCTGGTTTCTAACAGAGTTTTCTAGTGTTGCAGGTTTGTTTTTTGGGGTTGTTCTTTGAAATGAATGAGGTTTTCACTTTGCATGGTTTTATTAGGGCGGTGGGAAAGGTTTTGGGAAGGGGGATGGAACGTCAAATGATGACACGTGGTTACAAAACAGAAATAAGAGTGATGTAGAATAAACATGTGTCCAATTCTAGTGTTTGGCTGATGACTCCTAATTTTGTGCCTTTGGTTTACAGTTTTTTTTTTTTCTTTTTTTGTTGGAGCATTTTCTTGCTTATTGGATATTCGCTTGGTAAGGCAAAAACGTTTTTAAAAATAATAATTATTTTGATATTTTTCAAGATTCGGGTTAACTTAGTAGTGGAATATTTCTTTACCGGTTGTATTCATTTTATTTTGCGTCTATACCCGTTTTTTGTGTCACATTTTAACTAGTGCTGGCTTTACAAAAAAAAATCGCAAGCGTACCCACTTTTTCGCATAACTTCAGCACACGGGACTGAAGTAGCAAAGACAATCACGCAAAACTTCAGCATTCTAGTAGTCGGGCCTGAAGTTCTGCTGTAGAGCTGAAGTTTTTGTTTTGTGACTGGCAAACTTCAACTCTAAAGTTGAAGTTTTTGTGTTGTAACTGGGAAACTTAGAGCTGAAGTTTTTGTGTTGTAACTGGAAACTTCAGCTCTAGAGCTGATGTTTTTATGTTGTAATTGGGAAACTTCAGCTCTAGAGCTGAAGTTTTTGTATTGTAACTGGGAGCTGAAGTTTTTGTCTTTGTAACTGGCGAGCTGAAATTTTTGTTAATTTGCTGTATTTGTCAATTATAATTTTTTAGCTATATTTTTGTTGTTTTGCCTTAGTTGTAGCTAGTGGTTGTTAGCTGAAGTGGACTAGAATGAGCAAGTTATGTTTTTAAGAAAGCCACAAGATGCTCAATATATGTCCTCCGAGACAAAAGAAGGAATAATGGTGCCCAAACAAACAAAAATAAGTAGAGAGGCGTATGATTATATACTGCACAAAAATCATACCAAGAAATATATATATTTCCAAAGGGCACACAAACAAGTGAGCAATCCAAAACAAACCCAACTGGTAACTTAAACTTTTTCCTAAGACTAATTTGCTGTAAATTTGGAGCAGAAGTACAACTGCCGAACTGTTCAATTAAAAAAAATTGACCTTATAACTAAAGCAGTGTTGCTTCTGGAGATAAATACCAATTTATTTTGTAACTTGAAGAAGAAAACAAAAGAGGAGAAGGAGGAGAAGAAAGAGGGTTGAAATTATTTAAAAAATAGGTACAAGTTAAAAGTTTTTAAAAGAATGGGTATAGGTTAAATGGAGGCGACCAAATAGGACGCCCGTGTAATTTTTACTTTTATTATATATAATACTAGACGCCTTCGCACGGGCCCAACAATTTATGCTTAGATATAATTTGTTTGTAGTTTATGCCTTGACGAATTTCCTTAATTTTATTTTTTGCTGATAAAAGTTATCCAAACATTAAGTTTCAGATTATAATATTCTAGTATTTTGGTGAACTCCAAATCTTATAGGTAAAATAATATAGATTAATATATCTACTTTTTAAAATACTTTTTCCGGATTGTTCCTCTCTTTATTTGTATTTAATTTTGTTCTTCCTCCTTTTATTTTCCAATACGTTCGAGGGTTAAAAAATCAACTTATAGTAAATAAATATGATTTCTACAATATTTAACTCTAAGTTGATTAACTAAACTAAAAAAACACTATAAACTTCTATAACTTTAAATGTAATAATATATCTTTTTATCTTTAATATTTTTAGTATTCCTCATAATTTGAAAATAGGATATTTATTTTCTCTAGATTTTTTCCTGTTAAACAATGTACTTATTTGATCATGGCAGGGACCCAACATAGAAAGTGGCCGTCCAAATAATACTTTTAATTTTCTTGCAATGAAACTTGTAAGTTTCTAAAATATTACATTTTTACGTTGTTTTATTTTTTGTGAAACTTATAAATAATATATTTCACAACACAATAATTTATCTTTAACTCTAGAAATTAATAAAATAGACATTAAAATAAAATTTGATTTGAATTTGATAAATTAATAAGTGATCCTTTTTAGCACTCTCGTAGTCTCATTTTACGTGGTAGACATATTACCTAGAATGTAATACAATTGTCTTCCTTATAGTTCACTACTGAACTTATGAGACAATAATTATTAGTAGTAGGTAACTATATTTTCAAGTATTGTTAAGTTAATAAAACTTTAAATTAGTCCCTACTAAATCAAAGAGAACGTACCACTCTAATACTAAGGAAGAGAGTAGTATAGTAGTGCATAGTATTTTTTTTTTCCTTTGTTAAAAGTACCAATAATAATCAAAATTATATCTTCTTTATTAGTATTGATGATAACAATTACAAAAAACTAAAAAAAAATGTTTGAGGTTTATTCACCACATTTTTAACAATATCTCAAAATAATTTGTTAATAATCATCCGAGCTTATTTATGCTTGAGAGCTGAAAGTAATATCTATTGACTATTACTAATTGTTCATTGAATTTAGCGAAGTGGTTTTGTCAAATATGAGTTTTGTTGTATGTTTAGATGGGATGGGATGTGGGGTCCATGTGAGGTAGTACAAAGAAAGAACGTGGAGATGGCTGATATTTGTGATGACCCAAAAAGTCATCATTTGTTTTTAAATTGAATTCTACGTCCTGGGGTCTTAAAACCTCTTTTAGCATCATCTCGATTTGCGTGCGCCGTCCGGGCGCGTAGCCGGAAAGCCTATATGTGAAAATCTATGAAAAATAATAAGTTTTGACTATAAAATGAATTTATTTGACTTCGGTCAATGTTTTGGGTAAACGAACCCGGACCCATGATTTGACGGTCCCGAAGGTCCGTAGAAAAATATGGGACTTGGGCGTACGCCTGGAATCGAATTCCGAGGTCTCA